AATCTGCGAGATTGTCTGATCAAGCTCCCTTTCAGTATTAATCTGTAGAGGCGTTTTTATAAAAAAAAATACGATAAAATATATCTGGTATTGTTTAAGAAAAATTGTTTTTGTATTTAATTATGTAACACTGTACATTGTTTTATTTCCATATGGATCAACTTTTCTGTGGAATTAATTTTATATCTTGTATAATGAGACTTTTCCTTGATACTATGATACTACTTTGAACTAACGCCAGTACTTCTTATTGTTGTTGTTTTAAGCGGCCTTCTTCCCACTGTAAGCGCCCCATCGCTTGTTCGTCCTCTTCCGGTCGGACGCCATATTGTGTAACATACGTTATTGTGCTTGGCTATATAAAGACTAAGTACGTTAGAACACGGTGTTATTCCTTATTGGCGTAAATTGTTCTACAGTGTCATCTATCCAGAAGTATGTAGTGCCTTTTGAAAGAGTTATGAAAGCAGGGTCGCTAAACCTCGCGACAAATCAGATAAGTACTGGGACACTTACATATTTCTCGAATGATGACACTGGAACACTTACATATTTCTCGAATCATGACACTGTGTCACTTACATATTTCTCGAATGATGACACTGGGAAACTTATATATTTCTCGAATGATGACACTGCGTCACTTACATATTTCTCGAATGATGACACTGGAACACTTACATTTTTCTCGAATCATGACACTGGGAAACTTATATATTTCTCGAATGATGACACTGGAACACTTACATTTTTCTCGAATCATGACACTGGGAAACTTATATATTTCTCGAATGATGACACTGGAACACTTACATTTTTCTCGAATCATGACACTGGGACACTTACATATTTCTCGAATGATGACACTGGGAAACTTATATATTTCTCGAATGATGACACTGGGAAATTTACATATTTTTCGAATGATGACACTGTGTCACTTACATATTTCTTGAATCATGACACTGGGACACTTACATATTTCTCGAATGATGACACTGGGACACTTACATATTTCTCGAATGATGACACTGTGTCACTTACATATTTCTCGAATCATGACACTGGGACACTTACATATTTCTCGAATGATGACACTGTGTCACTTACATATTTCTTGAATCATGACACTGGGACACTTATATATTTCTCGAATGATGACACTGGGACACTTACATATTTCTCGAATGATGACACTGTGTCACTTACATATTTCTCGAATCATGACACTGGGACACTTACATATTTCTCGAATGATGACACTGGGCTACTTACATATTTCTCGAATCATGACACTGTGTCACTTACATATTTCTCGAATCATGACACTGGGACACTTACATATTTCTCGAATGATGACACTGGGACACTTACATATTTCTCGAATGATGACACTGTGTCACTTACATATTTCTCGAATCATGACACTGGGACACTTACATATTTCTCGAATCATGACACTGGAACACTTACATATTTCTCGAATGATGACATTTGGAAACTTATATATTTCTCGAATGATGACACTGGGACACTTACATATTTCTCGAATCATGACACTGGGAAATTTACATATTTCTCGAATCATGACACTGGGACACTTACATATTTCTCGAATGATTACAATCCAGACTTGGATCTTAGTTGTGGAAGATACTCTTTATTTGAGAGAAAATTCCCTGATCTTTTCTTTGTGTCTGGTCTTTTTAATTCAACGTAATTAATATCGCAAAAACTGCTATTAAAAACAAACTAAATCAATCAAAAAAGATCATAAGCCAAACTCAAATGCAATCAAAATAGGACAAAATATCAACAAAAAAGAAAGATTTACACGGCGACAACTTATAAAAAAATAAAAGGAAATCGACGATTCCAACAATGAAATCGTTGGCAACCCAAACATGTCACGTTTTTAAATAGGAACAAGGTATACAACAATGGAAACACATCCCTTTCCATATACAAATTTACATGCGTGCACTCCACATTCGGACATTCATGGACACAACTGAACAGGCAGGTTACAGGTAAATATGAACAACGTAACACCATATAGCATATGGACACTACACAAAACAATACTCACACGAATAATTATAAAAACAGAACATTTCTATATAAAATTTCCCTGTTTAATATCTAACCTGAACATGTATCTGAAGTAATGTAAAGAAATTCCTGTATATCAATACCTGGTCTTACAAAGAGGGCTATAGCATCTACTAGTTGTTGTATGACCTGTCTCGTTCCCCACCGCAAGAAATCATGCCATTGATAGTCATCCTTTACGTCGCTAAGACGTTTGTTTATTCCGGCTCGATTCATTGAACTGCATTAAACTTGTTTATTAATTTGGGGCGCTCAGGATCATATGCAAATCATATGATTTCAAACCATTTTTTTTTATATTTTCAATCAAATGTGTTTCATACAGAGATGTTTGTTTTCTGTTTAAAACCGTTGTTGCAATTGATTTCTACATCATATCCCTTTTCACTTCCCTTCTCAGGTTTTTGGCCTTATTTCCTAAATCCGAAAATTCTCTTTTAAAAAAGAAGATAATAACTTTTCATTGACAAACCAATGGTTGTTTTTGTGATTAGACAAGAATAAAGACAACTAGTGCACCCTCCTCGATAGGGGCTATGATCACTTTCACTCTCTGCATCCCTGCTCAAGCGATGCACAGGCTGATACTCTCCATTTCATGATTACCGATTAGCAACACTTTACAGCGAAACCAACTTTCAAATTTTCTTAAGTCAAAATCAAAGATGACTGCCTTGCCTTAATTTAATCAGTCCCACAATCACACTGCACAATCAGTCACCAAAGGAAAACGATATGATTATGAAACTTGAAGATTCTTCAAGAACTTCTGACAACTAAGCGATAACAAACTTTCTTAAGCATGCTATTACACATGACTCAGGATCTAACGCTCGTTCGGCCAAGACCAATCCTTTCAGAAACTTGGTAGCTCTTCATCCCAACATACTACAGAAGCAGTATTGGAACTCTTGACTTTTTGGTCATTGATATCTTGTTTTTAGATTTTAACACAAAATATCTGTGTTCTGGAAAGTGGTTCAAGGTCAGCCATTTAAAAAAAACTTTGTAGCCCTCAACCAAGTATGTTACATACCCAAAATCAGTATCTCGGGGCCTTTTGGTTGTTAAAATGTGGTTTGAAGGGGGAAAATTGACACTTGAATGACAACTGATGCCACTTAACAGCACGAGATCGCTTACCTGAGTAAGCGAGCTAAAAATAACCAAAGATGGCCGTCTGCCAGTCATTTAGTTCATCTGGTTAGTGCCAAAATCAAAAAGGCGAACAAGAGTCCTGACGGGCCTAAACGGTCATCTGACTATAACGACCTATATATGTACGAGGCCAAATAGGCATAACAAATTGCTCAACTTCTCTGCAGCTTAAAAAGAAGACATCCTTGGTTGATAAAAGCATTTTCTGCAAACTTGAAATCATATTCGTAATATACGTCATAATAAATGTCATTACTCTGAACCTATTTGAATACATTTTGTACCCTTTACCCACTCATAATATTAAAGAACCAATATAAATAGCCTCGACGATTTTATTATTGATAATAATTAATGTGAAGGTAGCACATTTTACCCCTCTGACCTTTAAATTGTATAAAATCCCAGCATGACGTAGGCCCAATATAACCGTCTTATGCCTTTTGGTTGCTTAGAATGAGTTATTTTTTTTTAAATATTTGACACGAGACCTTAAAAATGGTGAAGGTCAATAATATAAACACACTTGGTAACCCTTTATCTCAGCATGTCATTGGCCTTTTGTATATTAAGAGGTTGTTTAAGGATTTCAACACATTTGGCCACCCTGACCTTGAAAGCAGGTCACGATCATTCATTTTACCAAACCTGCCAGTGCTTCATCCCAGCATCTTAAAGGCCCAATATCGGCACTCTAGGACTATCGGTTACTTGATGAAGTAATCTGAATGGAAGGTTAACACACGACGGCTACATCAAGGGAACATATGGACCTACACATCAAATTTTATATACATCAACGAAGTCCTTCCCTAGAATAGCTATATTAAATTATTCATCTTCAAAAGTGTCTTTCTGCGAGTCATCTGTTTATTCTAATGAATAAAAATTCCCATTTCAAGTCAACACATTACAAGTAAGTCCTACATAGGTAACATGAGAATGATCATCCAGTACTTCTCCAGATAAAGTATGACTGTGTAAAACTAAGACATTTGCCTGTTAGCCATTCCCCTTACTTTCCCTCCATAAAAAACACCCCAAAGTGGATTGCCCAAGAATGTTTCAAACCAAAATTTGTCCGAATATTCCTACAGGACTTTAAACAATTTGCTCTATTTCCCCCCTTTCGGATCCCAGACTAACCGTTTGTAAAAGATTTGCTCCATTTTTTTGTCAGAATCCTTGTTTATGACTAGTAGTAATTGACGGACGAATGGCTCCACGGTATGTCATTGGTTCACTTGGCCTTTTGGGTCAGGTGAGCTGAGAATACTAAGGGGCACCTACATATGAAGTTTGAGAATTATTCATCTACTTCTTATTCAGTGATAACAAACTGACTGTAAAAGACAAAGATGGCCTGTCGTCCTTGAATGTTTCTTCTCACCTGGTAACAAAATGGAATATCCACAAGCAATGACCTATCAAACACTTCTTCAGGAATAGCAGTAACAAACCATGACTGTCAAAATTCAAATTTCAACCATATTGGGAAAAATAAAAAGGTAAACATGAAATTTGAGAAAAATAACTGTCCAGTGAGTCTGCAGTAAGACACGAAAAGAATTTTTCATTGACGGACCATGAATGTACAATGAACCAGAGGCATTTAAAATAGATCCGCTGATGATAGGTTAATAAAAGTTACATCACTAACAATTAATTGGTACAAATAACATTTAATGTTTAATCACAGGTGTGAGACATTAAATCATACAGAATACGACTTTAGTATTACTAGATATGTTTTATTTGTTGATTCTATTTTACAAATCACTTCCAATCTTCATTAGCAACAAAAGCACTAAAACATAAGCAAATTACAAGTAGATCTTCATCATGAATATATCACATAAATGCATGCATTTTCGTCAATAAAAGAAGTCATCATCATAATATAACAAATCTAAAACAAACTGACTGCCGAAATATTACTTTTCATAAGTCAAGCAGGTATTGCCTGTAAAAATGACAAAGTATATCAATAATCACCTATATATTCTTATCTTACAAAGGAGAGAGCTCTTTTTCATCAACATTATCGTTTTTTCACAAACATTTCCCTTTCTTTTGTATTCTATTTCATAAGAAACATGTTTTCATGAAAATATTTATATTTTATGTGTTAATTTCACAAGTAACATCCACTTTCCTGCAAACATCCATAATTATTTCAGTATTAATGTTGTTAGTAATATCCAGAAAAAACATCCATATTTTCCAAGTGTGAATTTCACCAGTAACATCAATTATTACCTTGTGTTAATTTCATTAAAAAATATTTCAAGTTTGCTCCTTCCTTTGTAGAAATATATCAAGTTGTAAGTGATCTCTGAACATAAAGTGCTGAAACATTCTGTATAACCAATTCTTTATCCCCATAATTAATCAATATCTGAAGACATGAAATAAAATCTTGCATGTTTTTTTTAACTATACATTGTGATGACACACTTAAAACAATAATATTGGTGACAACTAAAAGGAAAATTAAATCAAATTGAAAAATCAATCACAAATAAAGTCATGAAACACTTGATCGTAAAATTGTTACACTACCGTGATCCTTTGTTGATACTGTACAGTAAGCTTTTACTTTGAGAAGAATTATCTCCCCTTTATCTGATTATCTCCCCTTCCTTCTATACAGACTTTTATTGCATTGAGACTTACTTGGCTTAAATAACCAAATTTTAATAACAAAACACTTCTGTTAATGATGAAATATACATACAGCAGGTATATTTAATATACAATTCAGACATTTATATATATATAGTTGATTCTTTTCCCCACAAATTTTTAATATCATTAAAACATTTGTGCATATGTTAATAAAGATAAGTTTCCAACAAGCCTCCCTACTTTTACATCAAGTACCATGTGTTGTGGTATGTAAGAAAAGATGCATAGTTTTAATCACAACCATATCGTCATGAAAACTTTCTTTTAAATCACAAACACAAACATAATGGGATCTCCGTAACAAATAACAGGTAATGGATAAGGTAAATATTTCATAAATAAAAACAGGCAAAGCAACACTGTTGGGATCTAATTTTTTGTCATTTTTTTTTTTGGCAGTCACTTTGCAGCACAACCAATTACTTGTTGGTCAGTTGGACAGGTACGACTGGCTACAACTGATGTTGTATTAATTTAGATGTCTACAGTTCAGTATAATGGTTATTAGAAAGTGCCAGAATGTCAGGCTTTACGAAAAGCTAGATTATACCAATACATCTGAATCTGAATTCAAACTCAAAATGGATGACATAGTACAAAATATTATCAAAAAAAAAACATTTGCACTAATAAGACCATGCATATACATCACAGCCTTAATATCCCTCTCTGTCATAGAAACTAAAGCTAATTTGTGAATTTTAGCTCTTAAAAAAAACATGTACAAGGAATTAACTATACCCCTTCAGCCACCATATCCAGTATAAAACAGGCTGGTTATCAAATTCCAATTGATTCTTAAATAACACAAACTTCAATTCACCTATTCTATGTTATCTGAAAGATGTTGGTCATTATAATAAACTATGACTTACCATTTCAATATTTTGTGATAACATAACCATTTAAGATTTGAAGCATTTGTCTTTTACCTTTAGTTTGCTTCATGTTATTTCCTTTTTTGAGCGCTGTGTGTTTAACTGGTTAATGCCCCCAAATATGCTGACGGGCTGTCAAGACTGCAATAATAATAATCTAACCCATAGCCTGTTAAGACAGTAACGTAAAAATTAGAGTTGATTATTTTAATGACCTTGACATAGTTTTTGTTTTCAATTATTTTGTTGAGACAACTTAAGACTTGTTTCTGACAGTATACAAAACACAATTTTATTCATATAATGAGAAGCTCTGTACAGTGAATTCTTCTGGAAATCTAATTTTTTTTTAAATTACTTAATAAAATTTTGTTGTCATTTCTGATAGAACAGGATTTTTTAAACTAACTTGTACAAGGTTGGTTCCTCATAAAGTTGTTGAAGACTATTTTCATTTAATCAGTGAAAATTTGATATATCTGTAGATCATTATATCTATGTCCTTCATTGAATGCTGATAACTGTTAACCCTAGTCAAGTCAAACAAAAACAGAGATACAACAGATCGTGATATAGAGCTGAATAAATATATCACAGATGTGGCCATATGATTTCATTAATATTTTGGATAATTGTTTTCTACAAAGGCCTAAACACAGAAAATGAATACTAATACGCTTACAGTACTTTTATCAATATCCATCTTGTATTGTCAAAATTCAAGATTGTCATCTCTCAGCAATTTTGATATTTCTATTTAGTCTCAAAAACAACAGGAGTAAATCTGTACAAATAAGAACAAAGGGAAAGTGATCTAACCATTTGTACATAGAAGAAATACGAATAAGATTCTTCACATAAATTCTTCGAAATAATGATAACAAACAGAATATGTAAAATGAGAGGAAAAACTAAGTTTCAGTTCTGTAGGGAGTCTTCACTCTCCTACTTGCCATTTATAAAACACAAGCCTGTTAATGTTGAACAGATGTCATCATATGACATCCAAAAATATGCACCTCATTAACAAACTAATTAGCATGACATTGTAAAAGTCTTAGATAATGCTGACGTTACCAGGAAAGTCTGAAGTGTGAAAAGTTAGGGCACCTGTTCAATTACAGTCATTATCATAACACAGGCAATTAACAACATATTAAACAGACAAGAAAACGAAAAGAAGATGGAGGTTATTGTAATATTTCACTTAGTTCTGTTTCTGAGTTACACAATTATTCCAGATTCTAGTGATAACGACATCAGATCAGAAAAGAGATTTTGGCATCATACATTAAGATATGAGGAAGTTTTCTATAGTGGAGGAATTTTCTTGTTTCAAATTTTGGTGAAGTTTTTTCATATATAGTACAAATATGAATGTAATGAATCGCACTGCCTTGAACAATTAGTACATATGATTTATTTTACAGTTCTGGAAATCATTTTGAATTTGCAAGTCACTAAATAAACTATCGATGACAATTTAAGAACAATGATAACTAATTAAATGATAATATCCACCAAACACTGTAATTATTTCCAAATATTACTTTCGAGAGGTCAATAAAAACATGTAGCACATAACTTCTACTACTGTTTAGAAAAATGATGTTAGTGAAATTGTATTTTTGCCATTCAAAAACACCCATGGCCTAGACAAGATAGTCGTTACATATTTTTGTACAATGCACAACCAAATATTACTGGTAAAGGAGCCTACATTTATTTGTTTTAGATCAGCTGTAGCTTACAACTCATTCTCAATATATTCACAATGGTGCTAACCATTCAGTATTTTCTTACATACTTTTTATATATGAATTAAGTATTATTAAGGCAATCTCATATTTACAGAATTTTCAGACCCACTTCCTATGATTAACCTAAACTACCAGATGAACCAATGATTGAATGTACAGTAGCTGTTGACCTTTCTCGGTCTCTGTCAACTGTCAAGCTTAAAACTGTATGAACAAAGGGAAGTAACTCTGGTTTATCAGAAACTGATCCCTGTATAGTAGTGCTAAGAATTGAATTCCTTGTAAAATTTATATATTAATAATTAGGCAACGGATACAACCAGTGCTATGAGTTGACAACTGCGACCTGCTGAGGAGGATTCACTTTATACTCCTGTCCAGCAACACATGGCACATCGGAAATAAACGGACTACTTGCAGAACTGGTGGCTACCACAGAGAGGTGAACATCACCACTGTCTATTTTCACATCAAGTGACCTCTCATCATTGTTAAATTGTGGGGAGTTGTTTCCCCTGGCTTGGGAGATAGTTGCAGATGAATTCAGCATATTCCCTACTGATGTGAGAGAATTATTGGCTTCTGTGGATAAAATGCATAGAGATTTTTGCTCTTCTTTTCCAGCAGTAGGTGTTTTTAAATTAGTGAAACCTTCACAACTATAGTTTGGTCCCAAATAACCAGTTTTGGTCGATGATGATGATAACACATCTATGCTATTAATCTGCTGAGAAGTAGCAGATGTACTTTCTCTTACAATCATTTCTGATGGAAGGGAGGTACCTACTGTTTCTGCGACAATATTTGTTGCTGTGTTGGATGCTTCTGATGAATTGAGTAATAAATGCTTGACGTAATTATCTTGACCAGCCTCCAAGTTATTATTTATCACAATGTCTGGCGTATTTTCCTTCCTGTCGGCCTGCGACACGAGAATATTGTCAATCATATTGCACACACTCCTAGAATTTCCATTGCTACCATGTAATGTCTCTTTCCCCTCTTTAACCTCTGACCTCTCTATCCTTTCAGCGACCATTGACTTCTCCATCTTTTGGCTGACCTCAGACCTCCGTATCTTCTGATTGCCCTCTGAACTCTGACCCTCATTTTTCTTTTCTGCTTTTATCACATCAGCATTTGCATTAATGTTTGGAGTAGATCTGTTTTCAAGGTCCCCTTGACATGCCTCAGTTTTCTGAACTGTGTTGTTTCCTTCTGTTTTACCTGTAATGAGATCATTCACCGTCATGTATTATTGTAATCTAGCAACGTACCGATCAATCATCTCCGTCGAGTATGGGTAAGTTACGCCAATTAATAACTAATTAATTGACTACCGTATATGCTCGCCTATAAGTCGATTCGCCTATAAGCCGGAGGTACATTTTTGAGTTAAAATTTTGGAATTTAACATTGACCCTGCCTATAAGACGGTATCAAAAAATGCTCCGGCAAAAAATCCAGTGAAAATCTCTGGAAGTAAAGTTAAATGATCGTGAATAAAATTTGGTGGAAATCTATCGTAAGTATTTTTATTTCAGAAATGAGATCATGTACCAATACGTGTTGGTCATGATCGTGGAGATAGAGAGTGCAAAGTCAATTAAAATTTAATGTTAAAAGATCGTTTCTGCTCTCAATATTTATAAAGTAATAACGGTATTTCAATAAAATGTCATTACATTTTTCCAAGTTCTTGTTGTGTTTATAAACATGGCAGATTATACAGTTCGATCGTCAGTCCTTCGATCAAACGCACAGATCAATCACAATTCATTTTCACGCCCTACCTGCTTACGTGTCCAACCAGGAACTTAAGGAATTTCTGGTAGGTGAGTAATGTTGAAAACGGACCAATCAGGACAACACGGCATGGTGTCATTAATATCTATCAAAACATTGTGCACATGCTACCCACTTCATTTACACCATGCTAATTGACCATCGGTCTGCCTTGATTGATCTTTTGTTCTTCGTAATTGCCGTACGTACTATGTATACACATTCCCGCACGGACGTGTGAACACAGGTGTGCCTTCAGGCATAAACACAAGCCCATCCCATTGTTAAATGTTGGCCATGGCTGGGAACTGGCGATTATTGTTAAAACAATCAGGCAACATAAAAGGTAACTTGAGTAAAACCTGAGTAAGAGTAAACTTTCCCCATAAAAAAGGCTAACAAATCGATTTGATGTCATTTCAGATTTGTTATTACCGGTAAAAACTATTCATAATGCTGAATTTTGATTATTGGAAAACTGACATTTTGAACATGTCAAAACGTAAGAGAAATTCGTACGACATCAGTTTCCAACTAAAAGTTGCAGAATATGCCGAAAAGTACACTAATACAGAAGCAGAAAGACATTTTGGGGCTAATGAAAAACAAATTTCGGACTGGCGTTCAAAAAAAATCTCTTTCAACAATGCACCGAAATCTTTGGAAAAAATCCGCTACACACCGACACCGTACAAAACGCTAGAGGATGATTTAAACACGTGGTTAACAGAACTTCGCCAGCAAGGTTTTATTGTGACTAGAAATGCCATCCGTATTTAGGCACTGACTAAATCACCCAAATACCAAATCTCCGGAGATTTCAAAGCATCAGCCGGGTGGTGCTCGCGTTTCATGAATCGCAATGGCTTAGCTATAAGACAAAAAACGCATATCGTGCAAAGACTACCTAAAGACGTAGAAAACAAAGTTGAAAAATTCCACAAGTTCGTGATGAAAGAAAGGAGAGAGCACGATTATCCGTTAATCGCCATCGGTAACATGGAAGAAACACCAATCAGCTTTGATCTTCCGTCAAACAGGACCGTAGATGTAAAAGGGAATAAAACTATATCAGTGAAAACGTGTGGTGCTGAGAATTCAAACTTCACAGTTGTGCTATCGTGCCTTGCTGATGGGACAAAATTAAAAACGATGATAGTGTTCAAGAGGAAAACTATGCCGAAAGATATTATCTTTTGTGATTGATGTTCTGCTGTATTTAACAGAACACATCTCTATCCTGTCAAGGAACATAGGGTGATCAAGGATATGGTTGAATAAGTCTTAAGCTCTTCCTAAATATCACTTTCCATTGCATACAGCAAAAATCTAATCAAAACGGCAGAGCTCTTTATGACTCTCTGGACAAGAAAATGCATAACAATCAAACTTTTAAATTGTTCCTTATTTATGTATAATGTTATCAATTTATCATTGAAAACTTGCAGATGTATGTCCTTCCAATAATCACTTAATAGTCAATCATTGTTTGGTTCTGATGACCTGATATTTGATCATGAAACTCCTAGAACGGACATGAAAAGATAAGGGTCACCTGCCCGACCATGTGGGTTTTCCCCGGGTATTCAGGTTTCCTCCCACAATAAGACCCCTCGCGCGCTTACATCCAGTGATAAGTATAAGCTGAAATAACTTCTTTTGTAATTGTTGTAAAATAAATAAAGTTTATAGATATTACATAAGAAAATGCAACCGATTGTGAACACTAATCTGATCAGGTCCCCTAGCATCAACATGAAGGCCTTTCTGTCATACACTTTTACATATCTTGTTACCTTTCTCATGTATCAATTTCTCCACAACATTAAATGGCAGGTGCTTCAACAGACTCATGATGTAAAAGAAACTGAAATATTTCTATAATGGTTTCTGAGGAAACATTGCCAGTATGTTCAATGTTCTGTACTTATTCATCGAAACCAATCCTATTTATATGGCTAAAAGGGCATCCAGAATATGTGAATCAATCCCCAACCCCCACAGCACAACCCCTAGTACCATGGTACCCAGACCCCCACCACCCCACCCCCTAGTATCATGGCACCCAGACCCCCACCAACCAACCCCCTAGAATCATGGGACCCTGACCCCCACCACCCCACCCCGTAATCATGGGACCCAGACCTCCACCACCCCTAACCCCTAGTATCATGGTACCCAGACCCCCACCATCCCAACCCCTAGTATCATGGGACCCTGACCCCCACCACCCCACCCCCTAGTATCATGGTACCCTGACCCCCACCACCCCACCTCCTAGTTTCATGGTACCCAGACCTTCACCCCACCCCTCACCCCCTACCCCAGACCTCACCACCCCTCACCCCCTAGTATCATGGTACCCAGACCCCACCACCTCACCCCCTAGTATCATGGTACCCAGACCCCCCACCACCTCACCCCCCACCTCACCCCCTAGTGTCATGGTACCCAGACCCCCACCACCCCTTCCCCTAGTATCATTGGACCCAGACCCCCACCACCCTACCTCCTAGTATCATAGACCCTGACCCCCATCACGCTACACCCTATTATCATGGGACCCAGACCCCCACCACCCCACCCCTAGTATCATGGGACCCAGACCCCCACCCCCTAGTATCATGGTACCCAGACCCCCACCACCTCACCCCCTAGTATCATGGTACCCAGACCCCCACCACCTCACCCCCTAGACATGGTACCCCACCACCCCCCACCACCTCACCCCCTAGTATCATGGTACCCAGATCCCCACCACCTCACCCCCTAGTATCATGGTACCCAGACCCCCACCACCTCACCCCCTAGTATCATGGTACCCTGACCCCCACCACCTCACCCCCTAGTATCATGGTACCCTGACCCCCACCACCTCACCCCCTAGTATCATGGTACCCTGACCCCCACCACCTCACCCCCTAGTATCATGGTACCCAGACCCCCACCACCTCACCCCTAGTATCATGGTACCCAGACCCCCACCACCTCACCCCCTAGTATCATGGTACCCTGACCCCCACCACCTCACCCCCTAGTATCATGGTACCCTGACCCCCACCACCTCACCCCCTAGTATCATGGTACCCAGACCCCCACCACCTCACCCCCTAGTATCATGGTACCCTGACCCCCACCACCTCACCCCCTAGTATCATGGTACCCAGACCCCCACCACCTCACCCCCTAGTATCATGGTACCCTGACCCCCACCACCTCACCCCCTAGTATCATGGTACCCTGACCCCCACCACCTCACCCCCTAGTATCATGGGACCCAGACCCCCACCCCCTAGTATCATAGTACCCAGACCCCCACCACCTCACCCCCTAGTTTCATGGTACCCTGACCCCCACCACCTCACCCCCTAGTATCATGGTACCCTGACCCCCACCACCTCACCCCCTAGTATCATCACCCCCCCCACCACCTCACCCCCCTAGTATCATGGTACCCAGATCCCCACCACCTCACCCCCTAGTATCATGGTACCCAGAACCCCACCACCTCACCCCCTAGTATCATGGTACCCTGACCCCCACCACCTCACCCCCTAGTATCATGGTACCCAGACCCCCACCACCTCACCCCCTAGTATCATGGTACCTCACCCCCTAGTACCCCCCCCCACCACCTCACCCCCTAGTATCATGGTACCCAGACCCCCACCACCTCACCCCCTAGTATCATGGTACCCAGACCCCCACCACCTCACCCCCTACCCATGGTACCCCCCCACCACCTCACCCCCTAGTATCATTGTACTCTGACCCCCACCACCTCACCCCCTAGTATCATGGTACCCAGACCCCCACCACCTCACCCCCTAGTATCATGGTACCCAGACCCCCACCACCTCACCCCCTAGTATCATGGTACCCAGAACCCCACCACCTCACCCCCTAGTGTCCAAGTATACAGGCATAACAGATATTTTCTTAGATTCTCATTCTTTAGGAAGATTAGACGGGAATTGACGCTAACACCTAAATATTTTTATTCACTGTAAAACTAAATCTCCAGTATATCACAATACTTACCCTGTATACTTGTTTGGGGTCGGACTATTTGCAGGTGAGTGACCGAGTGTTTACGAGCCTTGCGTCGCTGACTGCCGGTCACTGGTTCAGCTTGTTTGTTAGGTTTCAGATGGGGTGGAACGATCAACACTACCTCTGGTACAGAAGTAACACCTGTCAACCATGAATAAAATATACATTTTAACAAATTTGAACTCAAATTGACAGCTTACTATAAAGATCAAATTTTCTCAATTTTTACCACAAGATTTAAAGTAATTCATTTACTATGTTCATCATCCTTGCAACAGTCATTTGGAAGCGTGGTTTTCTTGTAGTAGCAGGTGTCTACCTCACTGAACACTGAACTGTGGGAGGCCCATAAAATGTCATCTAAAGCAACAGTAATATGAAAAGTGTCATGTCCAAAGGACAAACTATGTCAGCAGACCACTCAGTATCATACCCAAGGACAAAATTATGTCAGCACAGACCACTTAGTATCATACCCAAGGACAAAACTATGTCAGCACAGAAAACTCAGTGTCATACCCAAAGACAAAACTATGTCAGCACAGACCACTCAGTATCATACCCAAGGACAAAACTATGTCAGCACAGACCACTCAGTATCATACCCAAGGACAAAACTATGTCAGCAGAGACCACTCAGTATCATACCCAAGGACAAAACTATGTCAGCACAGACCACTCAGTGTCATACCCAAAGACAAAACTACATCAGCACAGACCATTCAGTATCACACCCAAGGACAAAATTATGTCACCACAGACCACTCAGCGCTATGATGAGATTCTCATCAAGAGAAATAACGTTACAAGCAAGGATGCTATATTTTTTCTAGTTACAATTTTTCAAATATTGGTATCGACAAAAAGCCTAACAATCTTAACTTTCAAATAATGTGTGTGAAAGGAGACACTAGCATGGTGTAATAAGTGCAGGGAGACACTGCAATGGTGTAATGTGTGAAGGGAGACACTACCATGGTGTAATGTGTGAAGGGAGACACTACCTTGGAGTAATGTGTGTGAAGAGAGACACTACCTTGGTGTACTGTGTGAAGGGAGACGCTGCCTTGGAGTAATGTGTGTGAAGAGAGACACTACCTTGGAGTAATGTGTGTGAAGAGAGACACTACCATGGTGTAATGTGTGAAGGGAGACACTACCTTGGAGTAATGTGTGTGAAGAGAGACACTACCTTGGAGTAATGTGTGTGAAGAGAGACACTACCTTGGAGTAATGTGTGTGAAGAGAGACACTACCTTGGAGTAATGTGTGTGAAGAGAGACACTACCTTGGAGTAATGTGTGTGAAGAGAGACACTACCTTGGTGTAATGTGTGTGAAGAGAGACACTACCTTGGTGTAATGTGTGAAGGGAGACACTACCATGGTGTAATGTGTGAAGGGAGACACTACCATGGTGTAATATGTGTGAAGGGAGACACTACCATGGTGTAATGTGTGTGAAGGGAGACACTACCATGGTGTAATATGTGTGAAGGGAGACACTACCATGGTGTAATGTGTGTGAAGGGAGACACTACCATGGTGTAATGTGTGAAGGGAGACACTACCATGGTGTAATATGTGTGAAGGGAGACACTACCATATTGTGTGAAGGGAGACACTACCATGGTGTAATGTGTGAAGGGAGACACTACTATGGTGTAATGTGTGAAGGGAGACACTACCTTGGTGTAATGTGTGTGAAGGGAGACACTACCATGGTGTAATGTGTGAAGGGAGACACTACCATGGTGTAATGTGTGAAGGGAGACACTACCTTGGTGTAATGTGTGAAGGGAGACACTACCATGGTGTAATGTGTGAAGGGAGACACTACCTTGGTGTAATGTGTGTGAAGGGAGACACTACCTTGGTGTAATGTGTGTGAAGGGAGACACTACCATGGTGTAAAGGGAGACACTACCATGGTGTAATGTGTGTGTGTGAAGGGAGACACTGTGTGACCTATGGTGTAATGTGTGAAGTGAGACACTACCTTGGTGTAATGTGTGAAGGGAGACACTACCTTGGTGTAATGTGTGAAGGGAGACACTACCTTGGTGTAATGTGTGAAGGGAGACACTACCTTGGTGTAATGTGTGTGAAGGGAGACACTACCTTGGTGTAATGTGTGAAGGGAGACACTACCATGGTGTAATGTGTGTGAAGGGAGACACTACCATGGTGTAATGTGTGTGAAGGGAGACACTACCTTGGTGTAATGTGTGAAGTGAGACACTAACTTGGTGTAATGTGTGAAGGGAGACACTAACTTGGTGTAATGTGTGAAGGGAGACACTACCTTGGTGTAATGTGTGTGAAGGGAGACACTAACTTGGTGTAATGTGTGAAGGGAGACACTACCTTGGTGTAATGTGTGTGAAGGGAGACACTACCTTGGTGTAATGTGTGTGAAGGGAGACACTACCATGGTGCAATGTGTGTGAAGGGAGACACTACCATGGTGTAATGTGTGTGAAGGGAGACACTACCTTGGTGTAATATGTGAAGTGAGACACTAACTTGGTGTAATGTGTGAAGGGAGACACTACATTGGTGTAATGTGTGAAGGGAGACACTAACTTGGTGTAATGTGTGAAGGGAGACACTACCTTGGTGTAATGTGTGTGAAGGGAGACACTAACTTGGTGTAATGTGTGTGAAGGGAGACGCTGCCTTGGTGTAATGTGTGAAGGGAGACACTAACTTGGTGATATAGTAGAGATAAAACTCCCTTGGATCAATGTTTCAGCTGACACACTGTTTGTAGTAATGAGCATGAGCCCTCTGAGCATGTTTCCTTACATCAATAAGAGGGAGATTTATTTCAATGAGACACACTACCTTGGGTTGGAGTAGGAGTCGAGGCCACAGCTGGGGTAAGGGTGGTGTCAGTCATGCTGTTTGACCTTCCACAACTCTCACTCATAGAGCGGACTTTCCCAGCTGGACGTTTGGAATTCCGTGACATCTTCTCTAAAGAACATGCTGGCAATGTGGCAATATGTGCCTCCAGGTCGAAATCCCTGCAATATTAATCTTATTTATTGTTGCTGTAAAATTTTGTCGAAATCTGTTTGAGTTTTCCAGAAAATGTCAAAAATGTTAATAAATTTCCACACACAACGCCAGACAAAACGTGATCGCAATAGGTCACCCTAACCCTAAATCTTACATTTGATATCAGGTGACCTAAAATTGCTATCCAGTGTTCTGAATGAATGGAACGGTTGTCCGTGTAAGTAGCTTCTAATTCATCAACTCTGATTCAGCACTTTTTAAGCAAATATAAAGACCAAGTGCTGTTTTAAATCTTAGAACACCTATGTCTTTTCATATTTTTGACAAGGGCATGAACTTGAAATGGTGGCAAATCCATTTTTATAAATTTCATTAATTCCTTTAAATCAACTTATCAGGCATTCATCATCAATCTACTTGTATGTCATGTGACTTTACCCAGTTTTGTACCGCCGCATGTCCTCATGAAGAGTTCGTGTTTTCTCTGATTCTGAACACGTTCGTTTGCGAATCTGTCTCGGGTACACAGATAACACGTCAAAACCAAGGTCACCCATAGGTCTGGGCACAGATTCTTCTTCACTGCTGTAAAATACAACGGATTAAACTTCATTATCACTTGAATGTTGAATCCTAACTGACCATATCCTCCAAGATTAAACAAGAAAATTTCTTTTTTTCCCTTCTTTCTTTTTTGGAGAATAAACCAGTATATAATTTGTATCAAATATGGTTTGCCTGATAGACTTACAGAAGGTTTGCAAATGGACACATAATGACTTGAAATGCCCACCATTTGACAATACATGGGGGATAAGAAAAATGCATTTCTCCAAAATTGGACCGTCTCCGTACCAAACAATAGCAAACCCTACATTTTAAGTTTTGAATTGTTTTCTTTTCCCACCTGTCCTGCTCATTGCGGCTGTTTTCTGTCTCCACTTTTATCACTGCCATTCTTTCCTTGGACGGCTGGATGATGCCTTCATTGATGAGTTCCTGATATCTCTGCCCCCGATTCCGTCTTTTAGACTTTCTGACTGGATGTATTCCATCCTCTGTGTTGTCACTCTCCCCAAACTCCTGATCTACTGTTGAAGCCTGTTCGGTGTTTTCTTCGTTACCGTTGTCCCTAAGCATCCCCTGTAGCTTCCTTTTATCGGCAAAGATATCAACACTTGTTTCCGAGTAGCATCGCTTCCGTCCACCGAAATTGCTATCCCCTCTCAACAACTCGTAATTGGGGGATTTTTTCATCAGGAAAGAATCGAAACCAGACATGGGTCTGGTGGCATTAGCTGATCCCTCCAGACTTGTCCCTGAAAAGCCTTTTGCATCAGAAGGTTTGGATGAAGTAAGCCTCGACACCACAGTTCTGTTTGTTTCTGATCTTGCACTGTCATTAGGCTGCATATCTGATCCTGACCTGTACAGTTTATCCATGACACTGTCCATAACGACCTGTCCTGAAGATCTAACCTCTCCACACTTTACAGAAACTTTACTATCACTACATCCACTCTCCCCACTACTCCAATCTCTCTCTAGGCCTTTGGATTCCCATACACTGTCATTACTTCTCACTTTCTCACTGTCAGAACTGATTTCTCTCTTTGTGGTCAGGTCAAGGACTCTATTGCTAGGGTCAACATCGTATCCATGGTGATATGACATCATCTGGTCATCACTGAGCTCAGAACTGCACATCTGAAATAGGAACATTGGAACATACTGTAATTTGGGTATTGCATTTTCTTATGGTATCTGTACTATAACACTACTTTTAATTGGAAGACCTTTGGAGATCCACAGCCAATCAAAATCTTTCCTTCTTATGTGTAAAATTTATACAGTGATAATCATTTTTAGTCAATCAATTTTTTTTAAAGAAAAATTCAGATTTACAGAGGAATTGGAGTGTCTAAACAAACAATATCTTATATAGATTTTACAAAATACAGCATGTAAAGAACTTCTCTGAACATATCTTTTACAAGAAATGTTTGTCACAATTTGCTCAAGGTATACTTGGTTAGACACAGAAGTCCTTTGAAACAGTTGACAATATTGTCTGCCAATCCTAAATTTTCCCTAATACCCTAATATTTTTGCCTAACCTAAAATTCTCTTACTTTCCTGATATTTTTTGCCTACCTTAACCTTTCAAATTAGATTGTTTTGAAGCAATGTTAAAGGCAAGATATCTCTCCTTATATAAACCACAAGAGAGAAAGTTGTTTAATTGTTTTGTATTTTGCCTGCCTGCCTGCCTACCCTAAGTATTTTTACAGGTCACAGGAAACACATTTTTTTTTTTGGTCTGGCTAATTTAAATTGAATGTCCATTAATTGATCAACATCAATTGAGAGCAATTAGTATACTAACAATCAATTATACAGACAGAAGTTTGTTTACCATCAATTACATATTCAGATAACGACCCTTTTTCAGAGAAATGTTTCTAACTATTTAATCATTGTTAAACTTTGTACTTTTTTCCAATCCTTGCAAAGAGCTATCGTGTGATCTAGCCTTAAGACCAATGCAGAGTAAGATTTATCTTGTAAATCAATATAAGCATATTTGTTGTCCCTGCATTAATAACAATAAAATAAACAAGTCTGTTTGTGTACCTATTCCCTCAGCAGAGTTACTCTGCCTTCCTGTATGTCCACTGTCAACTGTTTGGTTTACTTAGAAACCTGAAAGCATCATTCAGTATATCTCTCATTTATTTGTATATTGTTATATTTTTGTTTGTTTAAAGACTTCCTGGGATGATTGAAAATTGAAGTTCATTTGGTTCTGAACAAAAACAAACAAAATGTACAGCTGACATGCTTATTGGGAAGGTATTCTATTTGTTTCACTTCTTTGATGAGTAGTCTCCCTTATATTCAATCATTAATTTTCATGATAATCAAAGGTAGAAAGTAATCAATTATTGACTGAAATTAAAAATCTACAATGAAACAAGTAATTTACCATAGCCAAGTCCATGAGAGATGCGACAGAGGACTGTGGTGTTGTTGCAGGTTTAGCTGAAGCCAGTTTTTGACTGTCACTTAATGTTGGTTTCTCTATCAGCAGATTACTCAGTCCGCCCATGTTACTCGGATCTGTATAGAAAATTGATGAAATTTATTTTTTATTAATTAAAAACACAGCAAGTTTCAGCTTTTTTTACCTTTTTTTTTGTCTGTCATGCTTTTCTTAAACAACAGTCTCAGTAAGAGACAATTCAATTGAGCAAGTTCATAATGCAATGTACAATGTATATCCCAGAATGCAATTTCTTGCTTATTTGGAAAACTGACAGGTATATATACCAAATACATTTCCCACATTTATCCTGCAAGATCCCAGGAGCCAACTCATAAATAATTACCAAATTCAGGAGGTAGGTTTAGCGTAGGACAATGAAATTAATTTGGTTTACTTTTGAACCACAATATATATGAATGTGCTTATTAACCTGCACATATGCATTACCATAAAAATAAGGTTGAAAAATCATACATGGGACATAATGGTCATCACTTTATCCTCTTTTTCAAATTCACATTGTACTTTTCACTCTAATAATAACTTTACCTGCCAATTTTCCTGGTGTGATGGACCCCTCCAAGGGGAGGTCACTCTCATCTCTACCTAGGCGAATGTTTGAAGGACGGGTGATTGGTTTACCAGCCTGGCAGTGAGTAAGTCTGTCTGGGTTGTGCCACTTGTAGTCAGGGTTTGCCTTCATAAATGCATCCTTATACTTCAAAAACACAAAAAAAATATGGAATTATCTTTTTGAGTTCTACAAACTTCTCAGGGAGTACAGGTATACATCACTGTTTGGGGGATTTTTTCCACACTATGAATTTTTATTAAGATTCCAATCTCCCATTTTCAAAACTTACTTTGTGATTTATAAATTGTACACATCATCTTTATACCAGTTCTGCACCCCCAAGCAATATCATAAATGTACTAAATGTGGCTTTTGAAAATCACATTTTAGTGTGTGATCACTTTTCGAAAATCTACAATAATTACTGTGTTACTTTTGTATAAGCAACAAACTTAAACTACAGTTAGCTAATACTACTTTAGTGTAATGTTTACAATATGATAAAATAAGATTAGCACTAAAATGAATGCACAGTTTTCCTTATGAAATTAATTGTCAACATGATCAATGGATCACCTGCTTAGCCAAGTCTGTATACTGGGATTTTTCCTCTTCTTGAAGGTTAGCCCACAGATCACCAAGGATTCGAGTCACACTCCGGTTGTCAAGGTGAGGGTTCTTTTCTCGGACCATTGTACGATGTCGTTTACAGAAAATGAGAAATGCATTCATTGGTCTTCGCACCTCCTTCCTGTCAACATCCGGAACCTCCATCTTGCACAACTAAAAATAAATTTTATAAAAGATTTAAAAACATATCACTTACCATGCTATCTGTTTACCTGTATATCCCCACCGTACCATGCTATCTGTATATCCCCACTGTATCATGCTATCTGTTTACCTGTATATCCTCACCGTACCATGCTATCTGTTTACCTGGATATCCCCACTGTACCATGCTATCTGTATATCCCCACTGTACCAGGCTATCTGTATATCCCCACTGTACCATGCTACCTGTATATCCCCACTGTACCAGGCTATCTGTATATCCCCACTGTACCATGCTACCTGTATATCCCCGCTGTACCATGCTACCTGTATATCCCCATCGTACCATGTTTTCTGTTTACCTGTATATCCCCACCGTACTATGCTATCTGTTTACCTGGATATCCCCACTGTACCATGCTATCTGTATATCCCCACTGTACCATGCTATCTGTATATCCCCACGGTACCATGCTGTCTGTTTACCTGTATATCCCCACTGTACCATGCTATCTGTATATCCCCACTGTACCATGCTATCTGTATATCCCCACTGTACCATGCTATTTGTATATCCCCACTGTACCATGCTATCTGTATATCCCCACTGTACCATGCTATCTGTATATCCCCACCGTACCATGCTATCTGTTTACCTGTATATCACCATCGAACCATGCTACCTGTTTACCTGTATATCCCCACCGTACCATGCTTTCTGTTTACCTGTATATCACCATCGTACCATGCTACCCGTTTACCTGTATATCCCCACCTGCTATCTGTATATCCCCACTGTACCATGCTACCTGTTTACCTGTATATCCCCATCGTACCATGCTATCTGTTTACCTGTATATCCCCACTGTACCATGCTATCTGTTTACCGGTATATCACCACCATACCATGCTATCTGTATATCCTCACTGTACCATGCTATCTGTATATCCCCACTGTACCATGCTACCTGTTTACCTGTATATCCCCACTGTACCATGCTACCTGTTTACCTGTATATCCCCACATAACCATGCTATCTGTTTACCTATATAACACAACCGTACCATGCTATCTGTTAACCTGTATATCACCACTGTACCATGCTATCTGTTTACCTGTATATCCCCACCGTACCACGCTATCTGTATATCCCCACTGTACCATGCTATCTGTATATCACCATCGTACCATTCTTTCTGTTTACCTGTATATCACCATCGTACCATTCTTTCTGTTTACCTGTATATCCCCACCGTACCACGCTATCTGTATATCCCTACTGTACCATGCTATCTGTATATCCCCATCATACCATGCTTTCTGTTTACCTGTATATCCCCACTGTACCATGCTATCTGTATATCCCCACCGTACCATGCTATCTGTATATCCCCACTGTACCATGCTATCTGTTTACCTGTATATCACCATCGTACCATGCTACCTCTTTACCTGTATATCCCCACTGTACCATGCTATCTGTATATCCCCACTGTACCATGTTATCTGTATATGCCCATCGTACCATGCTATCTGTTTACCTATATATCCCCATCGTACCATGCTATCTGTATATTCCCATCATACCATGCTATCTGTTTACCTGTATATCCCCATCGTACCATGCTATCAGTATACCCCCACTGTATATCCCCACTGTACCATGTTATCTGTATATCCCCATCGTACCATGCTATCTGTATATCCCCATCATACCATGCTTTCTGTTTACCTGTATATCCCCACTGTACCATGCTATCTGTATATCCCCATCGTACCATGCTATCTGTTTACCTGTATATCCCCACTGTACCATGCTATCTGTATATCCCCACTGTACCATGCTATCTGTATATCCCCATCGTACCATGCTATCTGTTTACCTGTATATCCCCATCATACCATGCTATCTGTTTACCTGTATATCCCCACTGTACCATGCTATCTGTATATCCCCACTGTACCATGCTACCTGTTTACCTGTATATCCCCATCGTACCATGCTATCTGTTTACCTGTATATCCCCACTGTACCATGCTATCTGTTTACCTGTATATCCCCACTGTACCATGCTATCTGTTCACCTGTATATCCCCACTGTACCATGCTACCTGTATATCCCCACTGTACCATGCTATCTGTTTATCTGTATATCCCCACTGTACCATGCTATCTGTTAACCTGTATATCCCCACTGTACCATGCTATCTGTATATCCCCATCGTACCATGCTATCTGTTTACCTGTATATCCCCACCGTACCATGCTATCTGTATATGCCCATCGTACCATGCTATCTGTATATCTCCATCGTACCATGCTATCTGTTTATCTGTATATCCCCATCGTACCATGCTTTCTGTTTACCTGTATATCCCCACTGTACCATGCTATCTGTATATCCCCATCGTACCATGCTATCTGTTTACCTGTATATCCCCATCGTACCATGCTATCTGTTTACCTGTATATCCCCACTGTACCATGCTATCTGTATATCCCCATCGTACCATGCTATCTGTATATCTCCATCGTACCATGCTATCTGTTTACCTGTATATCCCCACTGTACCATGCTATCTGTTTACCTGTATATCCCCACTGTACCATGCTATCTGTATATCCCCATCGTACCATGCTATCTGTTTACCTGTATATCCCCATCGTACCATGCTATCTGTTTACCTGTATATCCCCACTGTACCATGCTATCTGTATATCCCCATCGTACCATGCTATCTGTTTACCTGTATATCCCCACTGTTTACCTGTATATCCCCACCGTACCATGCTATCTGTTTACCTGTATATCCCCATCGTACCACGCTATCTGTATATACCCACTGTACCATGCTATCTGTATATCCCCATTGTACCATGCTTTCTGTTTACCTGTATATCCCCACCGTACCATGCTATCTGTATATCCCCACTGTACCATGCTTTCTGTTTACCTGTATATCCCCATCGTACCATGCTACCTGTTTACCTGTATATCCCCATCGTACCATGCTACCTGTTTACCTGTATATCCCCATCGTACCATGCTACCTGTTTACCTGTATATCCCCATCGTACCATGCTATCTGTTTACCTGTATATCCCCACTGTACCATGCTATCTGTATATCCCCATCGTACCATGCTTTCTGTTTACCTGTATATCCCCATCGTACCATGCTACCTGTTTACCTGTATATCCCCATCGTACCATGCTATCTGTTTACCTGTATTGACAGGAAATTGGTTGAAATCCAAAATCAAATATCAATCAAAATCAGATGATGATTTTAGTTTCAAATTGAAAAAAAAAATAGTTGTGTTCAATGTCCACAGACACTGAATGCATGACCATTCTCTTCGGCCATAATGTTTTCATTTTTAAACTATGTTAATGTAAAATATCTCACATACTTAGAATTGACATCAGAATATTATAGGCAACTGGCATCTCTATTTAGCATAATACAAATTTCACTTTGGCAATAACACTAGATCACATCAAAGCTCTGATAGTAGAATATGAAAAATTAAAATCTATTAGCACATCAGACAAGGCTAAAATTGACATAATCAGTTATATCTAATCATCGTCCCATCACTTCTGTACACCTCTATAATGTTGAAAAGGTGCTTTTATCCATTAATTTTTTAGGGTTTTCTTCTGTCAAGTCCAAAGGACAATTTCCAAAATTTTGATGAGTCCAGTTTTTGAGTAACAAAGAGATATACTAGGTTCTGAAACTTTAAACAAGTCCTACATGAAAAGCAGGAGTTCAGGATTCAAAATATTGAGTTCCAAAAATCAATTACCTGTGTGTATGTCTGAACTCTTCTATAAATACAATCCTTGTATGTTAAAACTAGTTTGACCATTGCTTCTTTACACTATCCATGTTCATTTCTATAAATATTCTACGAGTGAAAAAGTTTGTAGTCAAACCATATGCATAACAATATCAATTAAGGCTCAAGTCGTGTCATCTGCTTAATCATTCTGAATTCAAATTAAACAAGTTTGAAAATTCCTTTACACAAATAATTCTACATAATGAATGTGTAACTAAACCATTTGCAGTTGTCTACTTTTAAAAAAATGTTTCACACTGGAGAATTTGTACAAAAACGAAATTTAACGAAATAACCCTTTTAGGGCCCCTGAAAGAGGAATTTAACATTTGAAATTTAATTTGAAATGGATCCTGTTTTTAGTTATCACGTCACAGTGACAACTCTTCTATAAATTAAAGGTGGTTTATAATTATAGAACTGACGTCATCTAAGAATAAGAATTAATTTCATGGGTGTTGTTTGCTAAATTTCCGAGATCGGTGATCAGAAATGCCGACTTCCAACAAAGCCACGCACTCCAAAACTAACGGGGTCACATGCTCGCTAGGGCCACTTGCTTTAAAACGAAAATAAACCGCCAAACTGAATTTAACTCAATGGTTTCTTAAACATTAAATTATCATTGTATTATCCTATGTAAAAGTATGTTGATTATAACAGTTGTCGCGTTTAATGGGGACTGTTTAGGGCTAATGTTTTCATTTCGTGGCTCTGGGTAGCGAGCTGAAATCCGCAATGGCGACCAGCCGCCGGGGAACCAGCCACGTGCTGAAAACTGTCAACAAAATACACGGGAAGAACACCTTCTAGAACAGAATACTTGACAGTAAACTTAGAAAACTGGAGTCAATGAATCATTTTACAGTCATCAAAAGTATCGTCATTTAGTATTTAAACCTAAAATTGATCAAATGTGCCGACCTAATTATTAATTCTAAGGGCGCAGGCTCGAACAGACATGGCTGCCCTGTTGGACTAACACATCAACGAGGGCCGACCATGCGGTGCACGACATCGAAATGTAGAAGATGAAACATTTGTTTAATATTACAAGAAGAATCCAACAACTTTGTACTTACAAAATCTACACTTATTAGAATTTACTCCAGTTGATTTGACAACTATCGGCTACCAGGAATCCATCCGGACGTCCAAAAGTAAACAAGCCTCTCGCTGGAACTAGAGTTTCTCAGATGTAGGTCAAGGTTACCAGCGATGTCAATATTGTTGGAAATCGACAGTCAAGAACGGTCATTATTCAGGAAGTAAACTGCAAAACTACCATCTAAGAGTGTTCATACTAAACACGAAAGTCGGTCTTATTAGTATTAGTTTGTTTGGTACGTTGGTTGTAGTGTGAATATGTTGATGTAATTACACTTTAAAATAGGGACTTTAGAAAGTCTATAATATTTTAACCGAATTTTTGTACTGTAGAATTTCTACAAGATCTCGGGGTTACACACAAATACAATTGATGGAGATTCAAGTTCACTATTTCCCGATATTTTGTAATAATTTATTAGTCTTTGCATTTTTGTAAATACCTAGTGGATGGGTATTTTATAATTGACATGTTTTAAATAGAATATTTTAAGCACATACTGACATCTTGTGCGATAGAGTTTAAATATGTCGGTGTTGAAACAGACATTTTTAAATTCAAAATATTTTATTGTGAACGCAATATATTGTTGTAATTCAAAAGTGTAAAGTTGATAAGTAACAAATGGATAGCACAATCAGGTCTTGCAGGCGAATAAGTAACTGACCGCAACACAACATCAATAATAAATTCGCTTTCTCGATCAAAACAGCATATATATATTTAACTATTTAATTACACTGATTATAATACAACGTGATTCTTCATATGACAACAAAAAGATCTTAAGAAGGACTTTACGAGAGGTCTTTATTGTGCTCAAATTATGGAACTGGCTGCTCAAAAGATAAATTAACCTCGGCAATTTATATAATACGATGTAGGCCTTTAATACCTATTAAAACTTATCGTAGTGTACTTCATTCACGTAAATATATGTAAAGGCATACATATGTAGAACATTTTTTTTATATCAAAATTCTAATTTCTGATTACAAATCTCTTCCAGGAAATAACGGAGGGGGGGGCAATTTTGTCTCTCGTATTTTTTTTTTCGTAATCTAGTTATATATACATTTAATATTATTCAATTACAGCGTCTATAACATCTTCGGAACAAATATGTCTACTTGATAAAAAGGTTTTCATTTTTTATATACATAAACAAATATTCACTGCCAGAAAAAAAATATATAACGGTAAAATGTCCTTACGTAGTATTCCGTTTTCTGACAGAAAGCTTTAATCAGCGTAGACACATGTTGTATAGATAGATGGATGGATATCTGGGGAGTTATGAATGATCACTCTCAAATATTCATGTTTATCCTGCAACTAGCGCTGCCATTGTCGGAATACACCTGCCACACATTTCTTTGCCGTATTCTGAAGTGACGGAAAAATTCAGCAGAATTTCTTTCTGAATTCACTTAAATATTACGTATAGAAATATAAAGAAATAATGAAATAAGCGATTTTTAATGTTGTAGAGAATCATTTAATTTATGAAAATTGATCTAACCACTATTAAATATTCCACATACAGTTTTGCTGTGTTCAACTCGACAGTATTTTAGCACGTGCGATAATTCGACAGAATTACTCACAATTTACTTAAATATTCTATTTAGAAATATAAACAGTTGTTGAAATAAGTGATTTTACATGTTAAAATGAACACGTTGATCTATAAAAATGCACAAAATCGCTGTTATATCTGATGAAGTTTGGAACAGTGTTTCCGCGCGGAGCAATTATTTTGGCCTAACGTCAATGAAAGGTAAACACAGATTGAACAACAAATGTTGCAGGATAAATAGATTACATGGTCTGTGTCTTAAAATATAGGCTACATTTGGACTCGGGACAATAAGGCAAAAGTGGCGAACCACTTTGTCTTTCTTCACCTTCGCCAAAACACAGCTTATACTTTAAGATACTGTCCATGTATTCTCTATATATATTTGGTAAAAATCATATATTGTATCTATTTATACTTATGGGCCGTAAAACCCTAGGAATGAAAGTCATTTGTCAAATTGACAGGACGCATTTTCGTCCTCACCATCGGTAACCCATTGTCCTCGCGCTTCTCTGTATGTTTGTCAGCGGTAGGGCCGTGGTGTGGGTTACAACGTCCTTTCGTCCCAATATAACCTTCTTATATACAATGCAGGCAATTTGGTGGACGTATGGTTAATGTTTCATCCGCCATTACGTCCGTTTATAAACACTTTTTTTTTCCTTTTTCATTTATTCACTGTTGAATTAATATTTTCGTACCATTAAATCAAAGTTTCATGTAACGTTTTATTTTGAACAAGGATGTTAATTTACATAAGTGCACGACATGTTGGATAATATAAAGAATGGAATCTCTCAAGCTGCCAAATAGAGTGCGTCCCTGGTATCTACTGATGTATTTTTTACTATTTTCCATTTTCTGACAGTCCGATGATTTTACCACGTGGTCTTGGATCATAGTTGAAGGTTTGTCAGAATTTACATCCAGCGAGTCTTTAACTTTGAAGACCTGATTGATTGGATGTCTCACATTGATCAGCAGTTCCAGAACTTAATTGGTTATAATGATTGACGATGTATTTGTTTAATTACTTTGCAAGTCACGTCGATGACTATGATTAGCCGTAACAATTAGCCAGTCTACTGTAGCTTAACCTCATGGCCTTAAAAAAAAAAAAAAAAAACTTGTTTCCAGGATACTGCGGGCATGCCGGCTTCTACGATGAAAACTGACCTGATTGAAATGCTGATGTAAAGTATGTATGGTAGTCGAGTTAAAATGGACTACTACAATGTGCCTTGGCAGCATGTAGTCTGGTTGATCAATATATTAAGTCGGTCATGGAGACTTTTTCGACACGTGTTCCACTGAACACTTGTATCATTAGCATTTACAAGACGTCTCTACAAATGTGATGTCCAGTCACAGACACGTTCATGAGGACTGTAACCATGGACAGGATAATTTCACGCAATCAGACCCAAGCATCAGACTACCAAGGCCATGACATATTTGACTTGTAACTGTCCAGGTGACCTGCCTGTAATAGAAGAGGAACACCCGCAGTTCTGGCGATAGAAAGTTTTACACCAAGTACCGATGAAGAAAGATGGTTCAAACTGAAATAGATATTTCCACAGAATGTGTATTTCCATTCGTAAGAACAGTGTTTGTGAATGCATGTATACATTGGTGTACCTGATCTTCATGTACATTGTGATAATCTCGACATGTAATTAAGGTTTAGTTGATCATTCTGTGTTTAAGTTTTGTTGGTTATATTGTCAAATTATCAGTGCTGATTACAAGTATTGATTAATTACAACTTGAACTGAGAAATTAAATTGTCAAGTTTGGACAAAGCTATGATCATAATCTATAACACTCTTGTGCATTCTACTTTCTATCAAGCCCTCGATTCACTTGATGTGTTGATGCTTACTACTTTATTGTTAAATTCATGCTCATGATGATGTATCGCACAACATCAGTGTTTTCCAAGTTCTTATAACGTTTCCCAGATTAATTATATCAGAAATTTACAAATAAATAAGAGCGAAATCTCTATTGATATTTCTGTGCATAACATGTTGTACATCTTAATTAATGAGCATATGTTTAAGGATTTGTGTAATGTAAATAATTTACAGACTGTGGTGCTGGGATAGGTTTTCCCAAAGGCTTCAAGATCTATCAATCAAAGTCAACAGGAAATATCCAAATATCACAGAGGGCGCAGCATAGCACGCTTTAAATAACATAGAAATATTAAATGATTAAATTCTTTCCCATACTGTGAATATAAAAGTATAACATTTCTTGCGCCAAAACAGTTGTAAAATGTGTCGATTGTTCGTCATATCACAAAAAATTGTTTGACATTTCAGTCCGTATTGTTATATATTGTACCTTTTGTCATATTTAGATATGTTAGTGTTGATAAGTTGTCTTTTTCGTGATTTTAGCTCAAACGGAGCACCTGTCTGATGAAGAAATTTGGCTGTAATTTATTTTTTGTTGCATTTCTATAGAAGTATTTATATCCAATGACTGATATTTTTTCATGATTTCACGCACCTGCTGCAGCTCTTTAATTAAGGTTATTCCAAAGCAGATCAAAGTACAACCTTTGTATATGGATACACTTTTTTATATGAGTAATTTTTGTAGCACTGCCTCATCCATGTCTTCTGCTTTCGTTTTCCCAGCATCGCACGTGTTCTGTGTTTATTCCCTAGCAATCGATAGCAATGGATCAGAAGGGTACATTCCAGGGGATCAACACTTCCAAAGGACGTAATTCCGGCCAAAATTATAAAGTAATGATATAAGTCTTTTATCCTACATTTCACTTGCAAACGAAAACAAACTAGCGCTTTAACAAATAGAATGCATTTCTTCTGCTGTCCTATACTTTCAAAATTTTAAGCGTCCAAGCCCTACCAAAACGAATCAAACAATTTCACGTGTAAGTTTATCGGAATACCTGTTTAGTTTTTATACATACTATTTTCTATCGTGTATATGGATTCCTTGGCTAACAATTTACATTAATCTAATTATCTTTAAATTTGAAAATAAAATTACACAAAGGAATAGCTTTCCCCAGCTAGAAAACAACAAAACACTGAAAATCAAAACATTCTGTAAGACACGGATGCAGTACCAATCGTCAATAAAATAATACAACGATTTATAGCAGACGGCAGAGGTATTTAAGTGGTGTTACGTGATGTTTAGCACAACCTGGTAACAAATGACAAGGTGAATCATTAACAATTGGTTTATGTTCCTGACTAGTAACATAATGATTTCATTGTTGAAAGAAGAATCGGGATAAGATTCATGTGTTCCGGAAGCCGTTCAAGAATGGTAACATTTACACAAAACGAAAATACAGTCAGTCGGGCAAGTTATTACAGGTCCAGGCAAGCTATGGATTCCCCAATTACTGACTTGTAAACAACAGACCAAGCGTTTGAAATGTGCTTAAAGCTTTTGAAATAAGTATGTTAGTTGTGACTAAAGAACTTAGGTGGGACGAGACAAAGGTGCAAAACTATTAATTAAATTGTATCCTTCGGCTGTCCCGTCCTTCAAGGACTCGTAAGTGATGTTAAGGTCCTAGATTTTGAATCCTAGCAGGAAACTTAATGAAGATCGCTAGTGATAGAAAGAAATGTCCAAATTAAGATGCGTTAGCCCCACAATTCAATTAATTCATTTCGTAGTTTTCAAAGTGTCAGTTTCAATTCTAGAAGGGCAGCAGTTTAACTGCCATTAAAGCAAATATTTTTCTTTCTTACGTTGCCCAAAATATCTTCAAATTCCTACTCTACAAGCATTAATATTCGTGAGTGATTGATTTTCGTTGATTTTGTGGGAATTATTAATCCATGGGCAATTGCAATTAGTGTCGACTAATAGGTTACGTAGATTAAGCAATCACGAAGACACGAAAGGCGAAAATTAAGATCCTCGAAAATATGTGATTTTTACAGTATTTACGAATGTCTTACCGTACAAGTTGTAATTGTCTGCAGACCTTTGTTGGAGGTTCGGTGTCTAGTTCCATGCGTGGAATGAAGCAGTAGTCTATGTTAATTTTCCCACAGAACTGTCTATGTCATTAATTATGGACCAAAAATATTGATTTCTTTATACACTGGGTACAACTTATCCAAAACAATGACGTGGAAAAAAATGCTTTCTGCAGAACAATATCTCCAGATGTCAGTTCCGGATGTCGATGATACGACAATATCATAACTGATATTTATTGCAAAATTTGTGATGAGCTCCCAGATACCCTAGTACTATGAATTTGGAAAGTGGCATCGAAAAGAATTCCGCCAGTAGCAAACCATATTGGTAAACTGCTTCCGGTTTTGTCTACATTGTGCTTTGTGTTTGGCGTGGAGGACATTTTTTGCTTTTTGTGGAAGGTTTTTTTTTTTTTTTCTCTCTCTCTTTTTTTCTCAAAATAAAATTACATAAAATCATAACTTAATTATATGTGTATCTCAACTAAAGCAAAAGTTTATGTTTATGTGAAAGAATTTTAATTGTTTTATGTCAATTAGATGTATGTTTATATCATTGTACACAAACTAAAACATTGAAATTTAATTCAGTTTCGAAAGACTTTTCTTGGGAAAAAAAATCAAAAATAAAATACCAACATAGCAATATAATCATAATTTACACTCAAATTCCATAAAACTAGGACAAAATATGAACAAAAGGAGGATTTACACGGATACTCCTGAAAAATTACAAGGAGAATAAGACCAGGTGTTCCGGAAGAGTAAGCGTCTTCTGTTTCATCGACGACAACGCCATGTAACTTTTATATAACTATTCGAAATGTTGCTATTCGGAATAAAAGAATTCAAATTATGTGAAGCCTCCTGAAGCCTATAGAGTCAAAGTGGGAACGTTTCAGATTATGACAGGATGATCTCTTTAACTGGTCTACAGATGGGAACGAAGAATAGTTCTGTCGGAGTTGATTATTAGAAAACCTAACAAGGAAACAGCTTCTAGTAGCGGAGTTTCCAAGCTGGGTTGTCTCTCTTCCATCAACATCAAGCAGTACCGGCTTATTCTAATTCGATCGCCCCAGACAGAGGCTTGATAATATATATTACCAAACAGAAACTAATACAATGATCACTTAACCGCAAGTTCCAGCTCGATATTGACATAAAGGATCGCAAAATTTCCACAGAAAATTATGAATATTTTGTCAATCTGCGTAAACTTTTGTACGTATAAAAATAGCAGGCTGTTTTAGCATTTAATTGTATCCCACTACTAATTATATGAGTAGATGAAAAAGTCGCATGTTGTTTATATATCTTAATGTAAGTTTAAATGTTAACAAACTAAAATTAAAGAGAAATACATCCCGGGTACATGTTATATAAAATTTCTGTCAATAAGACTATCACATTTTACACCCCGCAGGTAGGACGTAAGAATTATACTTATTACCTCCATTTCATTGTAATAAGAGGCGACTAACATTACATTTCTCTTTCCTGAAGACACTGTTGACACAGCTTTAGATTTATCAAAAGACACACAAACGAATAACAAGCATTTAGTGCGATTTCGACTAAGACAGAAGAACCAAACAATTAATTAGACTCACATTGTGAGGACTACTGGTCTCCCTTTTCTGTCCTAGACATAATCAAGTAGTTTATAACCCATTCCTAACGCTTAGTGTTTGTCTTTAACATAATTTTCTTTGTAAGCATTTTATTGAGTAATCATCCGAGCAGGGCCGAGATGGAAGGTACATCATAATAGCTTACATTGTTTTATTTGGTGTACTGTCGTAATAGTGATCTCATTGAGAAATATATTTCTTTGTACGTTAAGAAGCTGGACGTGTTTGATGCTCGTCAGTTTCCCTGTTGGTTCCGTTGTATGATATAAAGCTGGACGTGTTTGATGCTCGTCAGTTTCCCTGTTGGTTCCGTTGTATGATATAAAGCTGGACGTGTATGATGCTCGTCAGTTTCCCTGTTGGTTCCGTTGTATGATATAAAGCTGGACGTGTTTGATGCTCGTCAGTTTCCCTGTTGGTTCCATTGTATGATATAAAGCTGGACGTGTTTGATGCTCGTCAGTTTCCCTGTTGGTTCCATTGTATGATATAAAGCTGGACGTGTTTGATGCTCGTCAGTTTCCCTGTTGGTTCCATTCTTGTTTAACCTGTTCTCAATTGAGAATGTGACATTACTTACTTACATTGCAGCTGTCGTCGACGAAGCAGATGGCACTTACTCTTCCGGAACATCTGGTCTTATTTTCCTTATACTTTTTTCAGGAGTCTCCGTGTAAATCTTCCTTCTGTTTATATTTTGCCCTAGTTGTATGGAATTTGAGTTTGGATTATGACTATGTTGACATGTTGGTATTTACTCATTATGTATTGTAGAAATGGAACGACTGGTTTCATGGTATCTCTTGCTGGGTGTCGTTTTCTTCAGTGAGATAGTCTATAAAATCATTTCCGCAATAACAAAAAAGATAATTACAGAACATATCGCAGTCTTTCACACGAGAGGGGATGGGTCCGTCTTTACATGACGATAGCTGTTGATAGCGACGAAACCAAAATTAACCCTTAGCCTATCATACGTTTTTCAGTAATGTATTATAGTTGTGTCAATATGTTACAGCAAGTTGAAATATCAACAAGGTAACTTTTGTAATGAAACACATAATTCGTAAACGTAATTTAATATTTCAATATTCTAACACTGCTTCTCGAGGTACCTCTGGTTATACCCTAGTCTCTCAATGTACATCCGGTTAGAATCGAGGTACCTCTGATAAGATCGTAGTCTCTGAAGGCAATTCCGGTTAGGATGCAGTCATTTGAGACACCTCTAGTTAGGTCATTGCCACTCGAAGTGCTTCTGGCTGACATGTCAAGTTCTCTGAGAGTTAAGTTTCATTTCTTCTTCAACAGCATACAGTAAATATTCACTACCATCAATGTATCAGTTCTGGCTTTACTTGCGAAAGATAGATATGTGTTTTCTTTTACTGAATCAAAAGAAAAAGTGTTCAAAATACTCACGAGATAACATTACATGGCGAATTCCAGGTTCATGGAATTTTTTCCCAAAGATTGACATTTTCAGATCTAAAGGTTACGGTACATTGGCGAACTAAACACTTTATTTAACTACCGAGATACATCTTGCAACATACCTAAAGAAATGATGGAAATATCAGTTTTAAATAGTATATTCTTGTAATACTGTTATAGATAAACTAATAGATAATTGAATAGTATTCAATCTAAATGAACTGTTTACTTATCATTGGCTGCATTGGACAGTTACAGCGACGGTAAAAGATGACGTCAGCGGAGACACGTCAAGCTTCAAGCTTTTAGTAAAACCACACAAATTTAAAAGATTGGAAAATCTTAACGTTAATTGCTTTGATTTAATCTTTTTTGCCATGTGATGGTGTATAGTCTACGGTTTTTATCATATGACTGCTAACAGAAAACACATCAAGGACGTGAGACGGTATGGAGTGATGCAATTCTATCGATTTCCGGAAATATCGTATGGGAGGCGTTACATTTCATTAATTAATTTTGATGGTTTCCGGTCTGTATATTGGTAAGTGGTGGTTATGGGGGTATACACCGTCACGTGACTAGCTAATATGTTGTTGATATAATTGAAGTAGAAGGAGACTTGTGTATACATGTAGACAAAAAATTGAAATCGAAAGAGTGCGTTCTTAGGAACAGTTGTGGTGTTACACATATTGGCTTGTTTGTGTAGTCACATTAAACTAATTATAAGATATATTTGAAAATAAATGGATGTTAAACTAATTTGAAATCGTGGAAAAACCTCGAAGGCTCATAATAAACATTAAAAAGTATTATTAGAAAAATAAAAAAAGATAAGTAGGATTCATACACATGTTATAAATGTATATCAGACTGGAGCAGAGCCACATGCGCGACGCAGTTATGTAAACATGATTCTACTAGGTAAAAGACATAATGTTCTTTTCAACATCAAGAGCCAGGACGCATGACGTGTACATTCTACTAATGACAGACTTTATGGCTATCATCTGGTGTCCTAATGGTTGGTAAGCTAATTAACAAATTACTTTTAGGGAACCCAATGTGCCTGTCAGTTTATCGCAATATGTTTGTTATGGCTTGTACTTTCGCACTGTGTGACATTATGTACTGATAGTGGGTTTATTGGTAAGAATATTCTAACCTCGCAGCAGCACATTTTGGTCAATTAAGGACTGGAACAACGTCTGGACCTAAAAGAGTCCATCTAGGAGCCATTCTCTTAACCCATTGCTGTTATTGTAATTCCTCGAATGAATGACAGTGCTGAACACAAAATAGCATACATACGTATAACATTTTATTTGTCCGATTTTTATTAGCAATGATGATAGGTTCATAGTTTTTCAATTCCGTTCAGATTTTTAGAATGAGACAATGTTTGGTCTCGGATTAACATGACGGGTTTTGTTTTACGTAGTTACGAAAAAAATCTCCGTTCATGGTCTGCAAACTTTTCTTTGATTTTAAGTTTTTAGCACATCATTTCGAATCGGCATACATCCGTGTTCCGTCCGTCTGTAAACAATTTTTGTTATCGCGATTCATTAAACAATACTGAATGGATCTATCTCATATTTCTTGTGTCGACTCCTCATAGTCCGTATTCGTGTCTGCTTAATTTTGGGACTGATCAGAAAAATAACTTCCAGGTTACCATCTTGGAATTTGCAGTAAGATATTAGTATCGGGATTCCTGCAAAGGATAAATGTTCAAATTTCTTATAAAAAACAGAGAAGATAAGAAAAAAGGAAAAGATCCAGCTTTCAAAGAACAAATACATATAAAACAATGGTGGGCGGCAAGATCCCTCTGGGATCTCTTGTTTAAGATTTCGGCACTCTTTTCACAGAATGGCCTCTCGATTTATGCGAGGTTAGTGTATATGTTACGTGCGTATTATTGGGAGCCTGCGGTATGTTTTCGTAAGTCTCCTTGTGATAGTGCGGAACTTAAGCCAATATTACAGTGCTGGCACGCTGAAATACTGGTAGAAACCTCCAATATTACAGGTTTGAATTGCTTTAAAATAAATTTGATTGTTTTTCAACAAGGGCCAGATAAATAGTCTTTCAAACGGTTGGGATGGTAAAAATCTACTTCTCACCAGTTTAATCTAACATGCGTTGTGTACTCCATGACAAGGAATTTTGGATTATTTATCATCAGAAAAGTAATTTCCCTAACGACGGGGTTAGTGAAAAATCTACTTGATATCATCAGTCTTGTGTAACATGTGTTGTAAACCACGTGACAGGGGTAATTATTATCTCGGCGTCATTTCATCGATTTGCCTGGAAATGTGATAGAATGATGCTGCATTTGTTTATCGATTGGATTTATATAAACACAATTATCTCGTAATGTCCACTTTACAGTAGTTTAATTAGAATAGCGGTCGATGTGAACCTTAAATAGCTTTCACAGCACACGTAGCAAACTCGTTAAAACACCCCGATAACATTTTTTATTAGACAAATCTAAATGCCATTTTTTTACAAATTTCTTTCCTCCTCATCCGCGGGTGTTTATTTCTTTATTTTTTTCATCTTTTCGAACGATGTCGTGAAAAAAATGAATAAATTAACAAAACACAAAAAAGAGAAAAAGAGATATGGAAATTTGTGACCACTAAACATTTCGATAATCTTCTGCGGCCGCTGTATTTCACAACGCGCAACTTACGACATTTTGTGTCGTAATACTCATATTTAGCCATGTTATATTTCATCAGGTGAAAATATGCTAAATAGTAGCCACTGATGAAAAAACGTCCGGCTATATGGGATTCAGTTTTTCTCTTTTGTCTTTTCTTTCTAACAGATTTCTTACAACATCACTACATTTGCCTTAATTTTGACAAGATAACAGCTGACACGTTAAATACCTGGCGTTACCGACACGTCATTTTGATCATCAGTTGTAGAAAAACAAAACAAAAAACAATTACTAACATTATGGATTCACAAACACGGGTTTATATTTTCTCTTTGTTAAATAATTTCTAACATAACTTCCAGGGTCTATTCTATTTTTATAAATTGCTAACATTTAATATACATCGTTTAGCATCACTGACGAGTCCTAGAAGGACGAAACAGCGGTATGATGTAGTATTACTGACGAGTTCTAGAAGGACGAAACAGCTGTGTGATGTAGCATCACTGACGAGCCCTAGAAGGGCAAAACAGCTGTGTGATGTAGCATTACTGACGAGTTCTAGAAGGACGAAACAGCTGTATGATGTAGCATTACTGACGAGTCCTAGAAGGGCAAAACAGCTGTATAATGTAGCAGTGCTGACGTGTCCTAAAGGGACGAAACAGTTGTATGATGTAGCATTACTGACGAGTTCTAGAAGGGACGAAACAGTTGTATGATGTAGCATCACTGACGAGTTCTAGAAGGGCGAAACAGTTGTATGATGTAGCATTACTGACGAGTTCTAGAAGGGACGAAACAGTTGTATGATGTAGCATTACAGACGAGTTTTAGAAGGGACGAAACAGTTGTATGATGTAGCATTACTGACGAGTTCTAGAAGGGACGAAACAGTTGTATGATGTAGCATTACAGACGAGTCACAGAGGGACGAAACATTTGTATGATGTAGCATTACTGACGACTCCTAGAGAGACGAAACAGTTTTATGATGTAACATCACTAACGAGACCTAGAAGGGCGAAACAGTTGTATGATGTAGCATTACTGACGAGTCCTAAAGGGACGAAACAGTTGTATGATGTAGCATTGCTGACGAGTCCTAGAAGGGCGAAACAGCTGTATGATGTAGCATTACTGACGAGTCCCAGAAGGGCGAAACAGCTGCATGATTTAACATCACTGACGAGTCCTAGATGGACGAAACAGTTGTATGATGTAGCATCACTGACGAGACCTAGAAGGACGAAACATTTGTATGATGTAGCATTACTGACGAGTCCTAGAGGGACGAAACAGTTTTATGATGTAACATCACTGAAGAGTCCTAGAAGGGCGAAACAGTTGTATGATGTAGCATCACTGACGAGTCCTAGAAGGGCGAAACAGTTGTATGATGTAGCATTGCTGACGAGTCCTAGAAGGGCGAAACAGCTGTATGATGTAGCATTACTGACGAGTCCCAGAAGGGCGAAACAGCTGCATGATTTAACATCACTGACGAGTCCTAGAGTGACGAAACAGTTGTATGATGTAGCATCACTGACGAGACCTAGAAGGGCGAAACAGTTGTATGATGTAGCATTGCTGACGAGTCCTAGAAGGGCGAAACAGCTGCATGATGTAACATCACTGACGAGTCATAGAGGGACGAAACAGTTGTATGATGCACTTGAATTCATTGCTTGACTCTACCTGTATCTCACTCTTAATTATGAGTAGGTACTATTTACATGTGTGTCTTTTGTATAATCTTTGCCTAGAATCAAAAATATATTTGCCTCCCAAAAAGAAGGTATCGTTGACAAAATTAATACAAAGATAGATTGATTAAGATGATTTGTCGTACGCATAGAGGGAAACACTTGACTTGTAGAGTCGAAACCCAAGGACGAATCAAACTAAGCTAATATCTCTGGTCTTGGAAGCAGAGCCCATTGTCTGCCTCACGTAAGCAAACATTTAACTCAAAGGCCAAAAGCGAGGCAGTGTAATTCAGTTTTTAAAAGACCTCTACTGTCGCCGAGAACAAAAAACGTCTCTCATAGCATAACTCCTGGATGATTTGTTAGATGAAAAGCAATGTTACACCAGGCCTTCCGTCACTGTCTCCAACAATAAAACTATAGATATACGTAGGTATTTGTTGGGTTGATATCATCTAGAGACATTTTCTTGCCGATATCAATTACTCTCCTGAACGCATGGAGTCTAATTTTAAATTTCATTTCCTACAAGAAAGTCTCGTTACATCGCAAGAACTGTCAGTATTGCCGATTGTCACCAGAGTGGTTGTCTTTTTCAAAGATTCCACTACCCAAGTACGTCGTAGTCCGAATAACGTTAAATTGTCAATTCAGTTAATAATTGGTTATTTGAGTGGCAAATCTGTAAATGCAATTAAACTGTAACCATTACCCCCCTTCCCAAACACAGACACACACACACTCACACACACGCACACGCGCGCGCGCGCGAACAAGAGAAATGTCTGACACAATGAAACCTTAACATGTTTGTACAGTGAAGTAGCATGTATAACTCTGTCTCACTGTAGTCGTCCTTCCTCGACCTGCAGGTTGAAATTAACATGTAGCTGAAATTACTCACTAACGCTTAATAGATTGTGTGTGTGTTAATTTTAATGACAGAAAGGAGGAAGTGCTAAAGCATTGGAGAAGTGGAGAATTTTTTTAAAAATATATATATCAAAATTAAAAAAAACCCCAAAACAAAGAAAAATTGGCCCCGATGCATATTTCACGCTTTTTATTTGATTATTTTGTTCCCTTTAACCTGACTTACAGTACAAACATCGTAACCATGTCTTTTTTATCGAATGGACAATCTTACCGGATACGAAAACTTCCGATATTACCGGATATGGAGACTTCCGGTATTCGACGACAGTTAACGATTTCTGTTATCAGTAATAAGACGACCACGGCAAACACTAGAGGAAATCAAAACGTGATTAATCATTTCTGACACGTGATAAGCGTGACATGTAAAGGTGTAAAAATCCCATGGGCTGTACAAAACCATCATAACTTTTACTGTAACTACATATCACATTATCATAGGTATATAAGTTAATTCAATCTGTTTATATCAGTTTTGATGATAGGATTAGTGTTTAAAGTCTAGCTTAGAATGTCATGCAGTGATTTTTATGTTGATAATAATGCCGATTTTGTTTGTTTGTTTGGTTTTTTTTTTTTTTTTTGTGTTTTCTCTCTCTATCTGTCTCTGTCTCTGTCTGCCTCTCCCTCTCTCTCCCCCTTTCTCTCTCCCTCTTCCTCTCCCTGTCCCTCTCCGTCTATCTCTCTCCCTCTCCCTCC